TTTATTCTCATTTCTCTCAATGGAAATGATGTTCCTGGAGTTAAACTTGCGTAAAGCATGATTGAGATGGTTTAAAACCATCAGGAAAATAAAGATGATATGGTGAAAAAGAAATAGCTTTCGGAGCAATACTTTCCCTGCATGTGAATTTGAGAAAAATGCCGGTGCTTGGCAATTTGTTTTTGTTTCACTGTTTATCAAAATTTGAAATGGTGATCGAGATGATATTGTATGATTTTAAGAAATTGGGACTAAAAAATGAAAGTGTATCTTTCTGTCCCAGATATACCGTACAAAATTTTGTTTCTATGTAAAATACGTAGATTGGAGAAGTCATGAATCTATCCACCAAAGTGCTACGAGTATTAGATTAATGATCAATATCTTAATTCTTTAATAATTTAAGAATAAGCAACTCTGCATTTTTCCTTTTATACCTAATAAAAAATGCCGATTCTAGTATTTCTTTAATCAGAAATAATGTATACGTACATGCATGCTTGCATGTATATTTAAACTGAATTGACAATTGAGATACGTGATTTAACATACACTGTTTACGTATAGACAATAAAATACATTTGTTTTTTTTTTATTTCCCTTGGATATCATATGTCTCACGTTAAAATCATCGCCAATTACTGGTGCATTTCTTAAACTTTTTTTTATTAGGTGTAAAGATGTATATAATTATAGAGGCCAGAGCAGATTGTGACATATATTTAAATTTAACTTTAAGAAAAGTACAGTGTTTAGTTGTCCCTTTTCTTTTCACACTAAATTCCATTTCCAACTTGTTTGCTTTCTACAATTGTATTAAATATCTTAAAATATTGCATGTAAACAAAGTTAATATACGCTGATTAACATCATGTATAATGTGTACTCCCTAATCGCTTGTCCGAAAGTCGTACAGGTGATGTAGTGGTGATTAGGTAAAATCTATTTTTAGAACAGTGTTACCTTCAGATCGAAGGCTATTTTATCTCAACTTGAGTAAAGCATGGGTGCAAGTTGAAAAGTTGGAAACCTGAAATCCTTTATTCATTATCATTTCCCTACATAATCTAATAGTAAAACATAATCGAATTTGTCACAAAAAAGCTGAACTTAAGGCATATGCCTGAAAACTTGCACCCATGGTAAAGTCAATTGCAACTGATGTCTGTCTGAGGATAAATGTTATGAATTATTCTTAATGATACTGTAACATTTTTTTATGGTTTTATATCATAAATCTGATGCTCAAATGATGATTTATCAATATTGCAAGTTTTTGTAAAGATATTTCATGTTAATAAAGGGAAGTAATTAGAAATTTATTTTCTATAAAGTCTGGGTCAATTTTTTTTCAGTAAGAAATGAATGCATAGATTTTAAGTATTACATTATAATGCATATGAACATTTTCAGTACTGTACATACATGTATTTAACATTATTCTTGGATATTTGGAAATTGTTTTAGAAGAATAATCATATACATAAAATATATAAAATTTCACTTAAGTGTTGTTACATCCTTACAACATACAGGATCTTAAATTAAAATATTACCATGTAGAGAAATAAACAAATTTGTTTGTCTATATATATATTAACACTTAATATTACCTATAATGAAGAAATATCACTGTTTTGAAATCTGAATTACTTTTGGTGACTCAAAATTATATCATGAGTTAGAAATATATAGAGGATATTTGTTTAGTTCAGTGTAAGATCGGAATATATTTCACCGAGTGAGCACCAAAAGGTATATTTCACGAGTGGCGCAGCCACGAGTGAAATATGAACTTTTGGTGTTCACAAGGTGAAATATATTTCGATCTTACACTAAACTAAACAAATTTTCTTTTTATTATATGCAAAGAAACGTTTTAAAAAGACATTTAACCTAATACTGAATGAAAAGCGCGCCAAATAATAATACAACGTGACGTCATTTACGACGTCACGTCATTAAGTTGGTACCCAGTTCTGTGCACGCTGGTATTTCACTGAAACAACGTAAGGGGCTTAAATTCTAAACAGTGAAATTATCAAAGTGGTAATTTCACTGTTTCAAACAGTGAAATTACCAGTTTTATATCACTGATATATTTCTATAAACCACCGAAAAGCATGTAATAAATATAAAGAAATGAAGACAAAAACAAATAAGCTGTTCCTTCAGTTTAATCCAATAACAAAATCAAAAGTTGTAAATTAATATAGAAAACATAAATAGGGGGTTAAACAACAAAATAAACAGGAATGTTGTTATTATATAATTATATGTATATATCACTAAATACAAAACTCTGACAATATGAAAAAGCTGGTTAATATAGAAAATATACCAATAAACTGTAAATATTATAAAATTCACAACAAATTTTACTATATATGGTATTGCATTCATTGCTTAATACATAATTTACAAAAACTGTATTGCTATATGGCACAATCTTTTAATCATATGTTTTATATGGACATGACTTCATACATGTACATCTATCTCTACCTTGATTACACAGAGGAAAACTAAATAATTATTCTAAATAAAACTACTTGTTTTTTTTTGCACTGATATATTCTTGATGACAATTTCAAATCTTTGAGTACATCAAAACATGATATTAACTGAACAAGTTTATTAATACCAAAAAAGTGGCTGGTGAATGAAATTGGAGTATACCTCTCTTCCGATATGACCATACAAATATATAAAAGATGGTAAATAACAATATCAAATAGATAAAAAAAGGAATCCCTAAAGAACGAACAAAACGTTCGAAAATGTTGCAGGCTTGGTTTGATTGAACCTGTTCATGGACGGTATTTGGTAGTGAAAAGCTACAGTCTACTTCCAACTGCAACTGGCTTATTATAATAAGCAGACTTCAACATTTAACATGAAAATGTAATATTTTAAATCTAGAAACATCTGAAAATGTATTCATTTAACTGTGCAGCTTTTGAAATAAATAAATATTTTGTGTCAGTTATAACTTTCCGCTTTGAAAAAAAGTCTGAAATTTATTTTAGGAAATGCAAATAGTTTAAAAAAAAATGTATCAAAACCATTTTCCTGTCCAATAACAACAATCACCAAAATTATAGACGTTCAAAAACATGGTACACAATATCTTGTTATAAACGGATTCTAACATGAGATACTGATGCCTGCTTGTTAATGATAAGTCTTCTTTTAGAAATATTTTGGCTAAAATAATAAAATATTACAGCTATTTTGTAAAACTATTATACATTCAGGCCAAAAAAATGTTGAATTATTCACTTAATTTTTTCCAACTATCATTTTTTAGAATAAAAAAGCTGAACTTCTTCTGATTAATATATTTATAATAACATAAGCTTGCCCCTGACTGGGTTTGAACACACGCCGCCAGCAATCCTTAGATTACTAGTCTGACGTGTTAACCACTCTGGCACGCCGCCATACATCAACACAATAACATTGAATAGTCAAACAGTATGCAGTCTTGTTATATTGCAAGGATAACCATGCTACCGTAGATATGTTAGTATTGCCTCTAAGCTGCCTCATACATTTCTTCAGCTTGAATTTTTCAAAACCTACCATAGGGGTAAAACAAAATATCATTTAAATTAATGACAAAGCCTTCATACAACAATACCTTCATACAACATAACACTTGTCCTAATATAAAAGTCTTTAGTTTTAAGAAAATATATTTACAGACAAAAATATTTCAAAAAACATTCACTAACATTAGAATTTAAACACGAACTTTCAAAAAGCAATATTATGGGACCACGTATTTCAATAATTTGTAACTACATGTATAACTGAAAGAATACATCAAAAACATTAAACATTTATTCCTACACTTTATATATTTTTAAATCAATATTGGTGAATACATATAAAGTTACACTATCTGCATGATAATACTATTTACCTGTAAAAAAAACAGGTAGTTTCTCAAACTTTATAGATACTAGAAATGTGTCCATAGGACACTGATGCCCCCACATGCCACTGTTCTGTCAATCTTATGACTCTAGGTCAAATATTTTTTGGACTACATGTGCCACAAGTTGAAAACTAAAAATCAACAAACGGCCATAATTCTGTTAAATTTGGTCGCAGCAAAATATCCTTCCTTTACTACGATCTACACATTAAGGTTGTTAATCCCTGGAAGTTGAATCAAAATCTGCCATCCGGTTTAAGAGGAGTTGCGTTCACAAAATTTCTACATAGTATAAAGTGAAAAAATCAACAAAGGGCCATAATTCTGTAAAATTTGGTCGCAGCAAAAATTCCTTCCTTTACTACCATCTACACCTTAAGGTTGTTCATCCCTGTAAGTTTAAGCAAATCTGCCATCCGGTCGGTTTAAGAGGAGTTGCGTTCACAAAATTTCTACATAGTATATAGTGAAAAAATCAACAAAGGGCCATAATTCTGTAAAATTTGGTCGCAGCGAAAATTCCTTCCTTTACTGCCATCTACACATTAAGGTTGTTCATCCCTGTAAGATTAAGCAAAATCTGCCATCCGGTTTAAGAGGAGTTGCGTTCACAAAATTTCTACATAGTATCTAGTGAAAAAATCAACAAAGGGCCATAATTCTGTAAAATTTGGTCGCAGCGAAAATTCCTTCCTTTACTACCATCTACACATTAAGGTTGTTCATCCCTGTAAGTTTAAGCAAAAATCTGCCATCCGGTTTAAGAGGAGTTGCGTTCACAAAATTTCTACATAGTATCTAGTGAAAAAATCAACAAAGGGCCATAATTCTGTTAAATTTGGTCGCAGCAAAAATTCCTTCCTTTACTACCATCTACACATTAAGGTTGTTCATCCCTGTAAGTTTAAGCAAAATCTGCCATCCGGTTTAAGAGGAGTTGCGTTCACAAGATTTCGGGACGTACGGACGGACTGACTGACGGACGGACGGACTGACGGACGGACGGACGGACAAGTGCAACGCTATATGCTCCCACATTGTGGGGGCATAAAAAAACTTTTAAAGTTTCATACAACAGGGAACAAACTAATGGACATCTATTATTAATAATCACAATCAACAACAACCATTTGAGCAAAATAAAAACACAACATACAACAAAAGAATATTATCAAAATCAACAAACAATAACAAAAATAAATCACACCTTGTAAGTTGAACTGTAAACAGTTCTAAGAGAAGCTTGATTGAAGGCTTGAACAAAGCAGTTGTACCCTTGTAACTAACAAGACAAGCATTTCAAGCACTTTGTTGTACACTTTGTCTCGTAAGTAGGTCGCTTAGATCAAAAGAATAACTTTATTCTTTGATAGTCTCATGTAAGTTTTTTATGTTTTACAAAAGCTTTGCTCAGAGCCCTCAAGGAATGCTTTCAATATTTAACATAATTATTAATAATAACAACAACAACAGCAAGAAATAAGCAGATGACTAAAACTCACATAATAAATTATTCTTATCAAAGTTAATCTGGTTATTTTCATTATTTACAACAGCTTTGTGCTGACCCCCCTCAATATTGTATTTCATCGAATATTTTTAATACTCAATATATTGTGACAGAAAATTAACCAATTGACAAAGAGAGTTTTACATCAACAAAGTTCAACCAGATCAGTAAATACACAGTAATGTTCCTGACATTTCAACCTCTAAAGAAATGAGAAACATTCTATTTAGCCATTTCTTTTCATGATTTAGCTGAAAATTGCTCATTTAATCAATATCATATCAAGGGCATTACCTTAACATGTATAATATGAGCCTCCGCGCAGTCTGATCAGGATCCATGCTGTTCGCTATCAGTTCCTCGACTTCGGATGCACAGGCTGGTCTGGATCCTTGCTGGTCGCAAACCCATTATGTTGGTTTTGTCGTGACGCGGCTCAAATGTACTTTTTCAAACACAAAATGGAACTAGAATAACCCAAAGAGTATTTTTCAAAGAAAGGAAATGGTCAATTAGGAAAAATCCTAATCAAATCATTTAAAGAAGAGTGAATCTTACATAGAATAATTAACTTTTTTTCCACATAAGCGTATTATAATTAGGTTTTAAAACCTGGTGGATTACTTTCAAGCACCTATTATCATCTCTCTTAACAACTTACAATAAAGTTTATCAAATTTATGTAAGGAACAATAAACATTTATTTGTACAACAATCTGTCAGTCATAACAAGTAAAATAAAACTACAATTACAACAAACTATTTTTTTTTCTTTGATAAAGAAATTGCAAGCAAAACAACCAATATTTGTTAAAGCACTGATTAAATATATATCATTTATATTATGGCATTTTAACAGGAATCTATATAAAAAATCGTTGAAAAGAAAATGAAAAATTAATCCCTGACACATCATGAAAGTTTTGATTTATGGTAAATAGCTGAACGGTAGAGGTATTGTTGATTGTTTTTTTACTTAAGACCTAAGTAAGTGTACATGAAATCAGATGATGGTCAATAATAAAATTAAAATGATGAGATGAACTAAAATTTTGGACGAGTACATAAGTGGTCAAAATAATTATGGTACTCTTAAATGAAAAATTAGGTTTCTTACTAAATGAGTCGAGTTTGGACAATGTAAATCATGGACAGAACATGGATTAAGTCAAGGTATAAATCACAATTAGGCAACAAATTATATATACAAGCTTTAGATATGGGAATATATGGAAGGAGTGAGCTCAAGATTAAAATATGGACAGAGGTTTGATAGGGGAAAAATTGGACAGATTTAAGACAAAGGCAAATGTAGACAGCAATAAGATAATACAAACTATGGACACAAAAACACACAGGAAAATATACAGAAAAGTTTGATAAAGGAAATATATTCATTTGTGTCATAGTTTTGCTCAAAACCTTTTACAACAACTTAAGTAAGTTTTTATTCACTGACAGACTTTGTACAAAATTAAAATGCAAGTGAATGTGTAATTTTTACTAAATAACTAATTTATTATGGGAATTATGAGATCATGTAATAATGCATTGTTCCTCTCAACCTTTCTATTCAAATAGCATTCATTAATAATTAAGCCTTATCTAGAAATCTAACTGTTGGCCTTTCAAACCAAAAACTGGAACTTTGCAATGTCACTCAAATCAATATGGCAGCTACCCCTTACGGAAGAATTTTAAATGCAATTTTAAAACTGTACATTTCTGGAAGACAAATCTCTTTAAAAAAATAAGAAATGTATTTTCAAAAAAATACTAAACTACCTATGAACTGTTAAACACTCAACAATATTCATACATGAGAATTACCTATTCACTAACTAGAAAATGTGTCTAGGGCTATGGATACCATCCCACTAGTAGCAAAAAAAATAATAATAAAACAACCCCTCTATAGTTGCTAGTGTGGATAAACATAGCAGTTATACTGTTGGAGTTATGCACCAAATATGCTTATTTTTGCTAAATCATGGAATATAACTCAGCTAATCTCAAATACATTTGCGGCAAATTAAAAGGTCCATAAATTCTCACAAAGACAAATATTCTAAGAAATCTGGACTATGTAGATACAGTGGGACTTCATGAAAGCTTAGAGGAGGGATTGATTGGCAAGGTAAATCTATATATCCCTTCCGCAAAGAGTAGTGCGAGCATAAAATATTCATACACTGTATACATCCATGTTTTTCTACCCTCATACCTCTTTATACAAATTTTTTCAATATAGAACTCTAATTTTATTTCTATAATTTCATATGGTATATTCACCAGATAATAAATTGTTAAATACAGTGGCACAAATCACCCCCTCCCCGAACCCTCTCTTCAAACTCAATACAAGGTAATTCTAATAACTTCCGAGGAATTGATAAATTTCTAAAATATATAAAAAAAAAATTGCACAACCTTTAAGTTAAACATATTCTTAAAAAAATGTCCGAAATAAATATATATAAATAACAAGATGAGATACATGATAAATGTTGCCATAGTTACAGAAGATCAATCTTAGCAAAATATGGAACGTTTTCAATAAAAATAGATATAAAATGACAACTCACTGAAAATAGAAATCTTTAAAAAATCATTTGATACAGGAAGGAAATAATTCATAACTACCAATCATAAAAAATATATAATGCTTTAGTCATATTAAGTTTTATGCATTGAAAAACTGACAATTTATATTCAACCTTGCCCTACAATTTAAAGGTCAGTCATCCTATATTATGTAAATTACATATTTACAATGCAATTGTGTCTAGTTCTTAGGTGTTCAATAACAATGTACCTTTGATTAAGAAGAGAATAATGTTTCACATGATTCTCCAGCGTTATCAATGGAAGAGCTATTATGTGTGTTACCTCTGATATACATTAAAGGAACACCACTGAGGTTTATAAGCCTTAAAACATAAAATTTTGATTTTTCACATAGATAAACATGAGCACTTAAGGTGACAACGGAGTCAATTATCACTGAAAATACCTAAAATGAGATTTTTTGCTTAGTATATTTATCAACCTTTTCTGAACACATTCGTGATTTAATTTTGGAAGCACTTAGTCCAAAAAATGTGTTTTTAAACGTTTTAAAACGGTACCTGTACTATTTTTATCTGCTATCGCGTAACCTGTCAATTATCGATAACGCTCCGCCCCCTGTTGAGGCATCAATGAGGGAAATCGGTAGTTCCATATATGCGTGAATTACCGGTCCATACTGGTCCATACTACTCGTAATTCATGTATCGTACAAATACCGTACATCTTTTATGAATATCGTCTACCTTTTATTTAGCCTTTTTTATAAAATAAGAAATTGTCGGCCAATGTACGTAACATAATGTATGAAACATAAATAATTAAGCATAGCGACAAATCGCACGACCACGGGGTTGATTAAAAATATAGTTGCTAAAATATCCATAATGTGTGAAAATAATTTGTCTATCCCGTTAATCTGATAGATATTACATTGAGTTTCTGGACTTTTGTACGGATTCAAAGCTTGCTTTACATTCAACCTCGTTTTCTAACAATGTCAAGTAATTAAACAACAACAAAAAACAAAAACAGACAACATTTTTTATGTGAACGCCTATATGACTTGTGGTAAGGTCTCCCTGACAAATTTCTAAACCATTTTAGGTTGTCTAAGGATGATTATTTCTCTATGAATCAATAAAAAAAGATAATAAAATAAATTATCAGTGAATGCTTTGAATAAATTGTTCGCTAGTAAAACGAACACAGTAATAATAAACCTGGGAGAAAGTTTGGAAATTAGTGTATATCCCAGTAGAAACTGGATCTCTATGCCGTGCATAGATGATTTTCATGATAATAGAAGTCAAGAATGTCAGATCATAATGATCGAGTGATACCTTTTATTTCTATAAAAATATGTGAAGCATTTATATCAATTTGGAGGAAAAAATATATAAAATCCCGTTCTTATTTGTACATCTACCATGGACTTTAAAAGACTGTCAGAAGCTCAGTTTTTTTGTTATTTTAATTTATATTTTAACGGAATTTCATACACGAGTACACAGATAGAGTGACACTGGTATAATATAATAATAATGCTGTTGATAATAATAATAAACTTCAAATGTGAAATAATTAAATACCCCGCTAGCGGTGCACAAATACGTCCCATTTCCCCCCACCGAGTGCCTCAAATTTTACCGAAAGTCACGTGACATGTGCACCCGATACCAGACTGACGGTAAATCACGTTAAGATTTGAAGAAATTTCTGTTATAAACTGATATTAATCAGCAACTTTTTAATTGGTCAGATGTCATTGGGTCATTAAATGTTGTTAGAGTATGTTACCGCAACTTGTGACCTTCTCTGGTGCGATATTTGTGTATTATGTATTTATTTAGCGTGAAACGTAGGGGTCCGAGAGAGAACAGCCGATTTATGACACTTTGTTTGATGCGGGTCGGACTAACTTTGAATCGGCATAACTTTTTTAATAATCAAGCAATTAACATGCGGTTTAAAGCACATGAAAGGGAATTCATTTACGGAGGGAACCGTGTCAGGGATTTTTGTTTGCTTAATCAGCGACTTAATTATCTTTAATTACGTAATATGTATGGTGAAAAAAGTCGCATAAAATGTTTGACGTTACGTAATATTTTTTTGAGAAAAGATAGAAAAAATTTGAGACACGGTTCCCCAGATATTATAAGTATGTTTATTTTCCAAAAGTTTGATGACAAAAAAATAAAAAATGACTTTGATATGACGATTTAAAATTTTAGGATTTTTATTAAAAATCAATCATTTACAAAGGCATTTTTTTCAAATATGTTATTTTTTATGATGATCAACGACATTTAATGCACAAAGATTAAATAAATAACAATTATTACTAAAATAAGTTGGTTTAAATGACATTTATGTGATTACCACGGAAAGTGTCTGTTGTCACCTTAAAACAGAAATATAAATGAAATATAACCAAGAAATATACTAGAAATACATTGAAAATCATATGTTTGTGCTATTCTCAGTCCGATTTGAGTGAAAACCGTTTAAACGCTTTTCAATTTTTGGTAATTTGTCACTTTAATAATAATTATTCTGGAAAAACAGAGCGAGCTAATGATCTGAAATTTTGCACATAAGTTATTAGTATAGATTTACATCAAATGGAGTAATAATCTCAAAAAATTATTTCCAGTCCCGTCATGTCAAAAAACCTCAGTTGAGTCCCTTTAACATGTATCAGCAAACATAAAAACAGTAACCACTTTCTAAATTCAAACATAACATTCATTTGTGAAAGAGTGCTTATAGTATGTCTGCAACCCTGATCATTTGGCCACCATACTAATCTCTACATACTTTTTTGTTGTTTCTAAATTACAAAACACTAATTCATGTAATCATTTCATAGTTCTACTGATGAAAGAATGTCTATCATAATTTTACTAATAAAAGAACATCTAAAGTGCCTCTCCATACTTTTTTAGTCATATGCAGGCATCAAAGTAATATCATTAAGATACCATATGACAGTTGGATAAATTCCTTACAAGAAAGAATCTAGAGTTTAAAACACAATGTTAAGCCAGAACAGCAAGGAACACATGATTTGAGGTCAACAGCCATAACCATTCAGGAACTATTTCCACAATAAAATGAAGATGATTTTTAACCATCTCAATGGTAATAAAACTAGAACTATCACTAAATGTGATTAATACCCCCACAAGACTGCTTCGGAAATGAGGATGTTACTAGTAAATGAATACCTTGTAAAAGAATTGAAATATAGAGTTATGGTTGTGGGCAATTAAAGGTAGTTATGGTTCTTGTATGTTGCATTTCCTTTCAATGTGGTTGGCCATTGATGAAGTTTTATTGAATTACTCTGTAATAAGTCAAGAAAGACAAAGAAAAGGAACAAAGGGCAATTACTCTATAAATACCGAAGATGGAGTTATAGTTCTTGTGCATTGCACTTCCTCTCATAGTGCTTGACCATTGTATGAAGTTGTTTTGAATTCCAACCAGTACGTTTTAAGTTATGCTTGGTAGACACCCATTAGAAGATTTTTAATGCTAAATATCTTAGCTCTAGCTCTTGGGGTTTTCAAAAGAAGAAGATATTTATTAAGTTTTTACTATATACATAAAGGAAAAAACAAGACCCTCTGGGCTGGGGGGGCCAATTTTTTACCCCAGGGTTTTTATTTGAACAAACTTTGTAGACACCCACTAGAAGATGTTTCATGCTTCAAATCTAAGCTCTAGCTATTTTGGTTTTTTAAAAGAAGATTTTTTAAGTTTTTTAATTATATACAAATAAGGAAAATCAATGAACCCTTGGGGCGGGGCCAATTTTTACCCCAGGACTTTTATTTGAACAAACTTGGTACACACCCACTAGAGGATGTTTCATGCTTAATATCTAAGCTCTAGCTATTTGGGTTTTTTTAAATGAAGATTTTTTAAGTTTTAACAATATACAGGAATAAGGAAATCAGTGACCTCCCCGGAGTGGGGCCAATTTTGACCCCAGGGCATTTATTTGAACAAACTTGGTAGACACTGGCTAGATGATGTTTCATGCCAAATATTTGAGCTCTACCTCTTTCGTTTTCTAAAAGAAGATCTTTGAAGATTTTTCTTTCGGTTGCCATGGCAACCAGAGTTCTGTTTGGAATTAAATTCTTTGAACAATTTATAAAGTTGACCACCAAAGGAACATTCCTGTAAAGTTTGGATGGAATTGGCTTAGCAGTTTATGAGGAGATGTCATTTAAATTAAAAGTTTACGGACGGACGATGGACAGACGCTGGACGAAAAGCGATCACAAAAGCTCACCATGTCACTTTGTGACTGGTGTGCTAAATGCTGTCATGTATCAGTATTGCCCAGGACTCAATCCACCTTGTAAGCATCATGTAATAACAAAAGCTGTCATGTATCAGTATTGCCTAGGAATCAATCCACCTTGACCCATTTCTTGATTGATGTATTCAGTGACTGGACCCATCTATAATATAAACAACAAAACACTCTCTAAAGAAAACTATGTTTTTGTTCATTATAAACAAAATAAATATGCTTTATCAGTAAATAAACCATGTAATAGAATTAATGACATGATTTTTTAATATTCATTTCATTAGAATAACAAGGGCAAAAAAAAAAACACAAAAAAAAGTTATCTAACTTAGAGATGAAATCAACATAATTATTTCATCAGTAAATTCATCATGTATGTTTTCTATCATTATCTTTTCGAGTCACACACACACTTAAAAGATCATATGGCAACTTACCAGCTTTACTGGTAGAGGAAGCCATCTTACATTCACTGGCTAGGGACAAGTGAAGTACCAACCAAACCATCAACCTAT